CACTCCATTTACAAAAATCAAGTTGAAGTGGATTAAAGACCTAGACATAAGAACGGAAACCATAAAATACCTGGAAACAAACATGGGCCAAACACTACACGACATACACTTCAACGACATCTTTAAAGACCCAACTTTAAAGACCCATCTTTAAAAAACCCAACACCACAATAGTGAAGGCAAAGATAAATAGATGGGACTACATCAAGTTAAAGAGCTTCTGTACAGCAAAAGAGACATTACTAAAAACAAACAGACAGCCCACTAATTGGGAAAACATTTTCTCACACAAGAGTAGTGATAAAGGACTGATCACAAAAATATACGGAGAACTGATGAAACTCAACAAAAATAAACAACCCCATCAAAAAATGGGAAGAAGTGCTAAAAAGACACTTCTCCAAAGAGGAAATGCAGATGGCCAACAAGCATATGAAAAAATGTTCAACATCACTCGTAATAAGGGAGATGCAAATTAAAACCACAATGAGATACCACCTCACCCCAGTGAGAATGGCACATCTTCAAATAACTAGCAACAACAAATGTTGGCAAGGATGTGGAGGAAAAGGAACTCTCCTGCACTGCTGGTGGGAATGCAAACTAGTACAACCACTATGGAAAACTGTTTGGAGGTTCCTCAAACTGCTAAACATGGAGCTTCCCTACGACCCAGCAATCCCACTCCTTGGTATCTACCCAAAAGACACAAAAATACTGATTGGAAAAGATATCTGCACCCCCATGTTTATTGCTGCTTTACTTACAATTGGAAAAACATGGAAGCAGCCCAAATGCCCAAAAGTAGATGACTGGATTAAAAAGATGTGGTACATATATACAATGGAGTATTACTCAGCAACCAAAAAAAAGAAGCACATGTCTTTTGTAGCAACTTGGATGGAGCTGGAAAAGATCATGCTTAGTGAAATAAGCCAGAAAGAGAAAGAAAAATACCAGAAGGTTTCACTCATAGCAGGAGTATAATGGACCAGGTGAGAAAATAATAATAATGAACAGCCATATAGCAGAGACATTTTGTGGGGGTGGAGTGGGGAATGGGATCAAAAATGGGGGGGGGAAGTGCATGGGACTATGGTGATGGCACATGGGTGACTTGGTGATGGGAAACCCACGGGGATTACAATTGAGATGAAAAAAAAAATGTACAAAATGATGTAAAAATAAACTGTTTAAAAAAAAAACCTCATTATTATAAAAGTTTATGTCAAACCTGAAGCAACACATAAATGCAGAAATGTCTCACTGTCACAGAAATGTTTTAGGGACAACTGGATACTAGAACAAACAAAATTAACATTTATTTATTCTTCACACAGAAAGGTCAATTAATCTTTTAAAATGAAACAGAACAGTATAGTTATATCAGATTAATATCTGAATAAGACACAGATAATATATATATATATTTAAAAATAGAGAAGATTTATGAAGTGCTCAAATGCAATAAAAAAGAAAAGAAATAACGGGAAAAAAATTAGATGTTAATAATAACTTACCTAGCTTATCATCCAAAAGATAACTACTGTGGTGTAATCATATCAAGAGCATGCCTTGATTCCGGGGCTAAAGGTAGATGGTAATATTTTAACTGGAAAAAAGCCTCACTGGCAGAAAATTGGGTCAAGCATAATGGTAGTCACTATTACACTGAGGAAACCAGCAAAATACAGTAAACTGATTGACATCGATATGGATTAGGCTGTGAGAAAACAAAAAGACTCTAGCCTTGCCAAAGTGTTAGTCTTTCTGGTGTGTAGAAAGGGGTTACATTATTCCTTTTAAAAGAACACAATTTAGGGCCCTTCTTGGTGATGCAACAGGTTAAGTCTCAGCACTACACAGCTATCCATGAAAACTATCTGCAGCCACTGCAGCAGGAGTTCGATCCCCAGTCAGGGAGCTGACCCACATGGCACAGCAGACCTCTATTGTCCTGTCCGCTGCTCCCCTCAGCAGTGTATTTCAGTAGATCCGCCTGTCCAGCTCCCCACTCTGTCTGGTGAATCCTCTCATCCCCTGTACCCCATTTCTTGTATGCATAAATACATCATTTTTTAAGGACACAATTTGTAACACTTAACTTGCAAAAAAAATTTTTTTAAAGATTTATTTATTTGTGCATACAGAACTGGGGTACAGGCCAGAGACTCAGGGGTGGTGAAAGAGTTCACCAGAGACAGAGCAGGGAGCAAAACAGGCAGATCAACAAAGTACACTGCTGAGGGGAGCAGCGGGCGGGTCAGGAGAGGTCTGCCACGCCATGTGGTCACCTCCGGGGCAGGTGGGAATCGAACTCATGGGGAAGTGGTCTCAGCTTCTTAGTGCAGTGCTTCAACCCACTGTGCCACCAGGGAGGGCCTTAACTTGCAAAATTTCATTTAAAGAAATAGAGATGTGGTGAGAAATACACAAAAGTCCCATGACATCAACATTTGCCAACACACTCAGGGTCTGCAAAATTGAATCCTGTTTATCATCACCCCTTCAGAAATTGCTCCAACTCCCTCGTCTCTGCTCTGCCTCTCAGGGCTACTCCAGATCCATATCATTTTTAACTTGTCTGTTCTCAATTGGCTTCATGAAATGCATTCAACCTTTAACTTTTCAAAATGCAAATGGGTGCTCGATACTGCCTGCCAATTTCTCTCAAAGGTTCACTTTCCCATACAGCACCACACCTCCTTTCTTTTGAAACCTTCTGATTTCCCACCTCTACCCACGCTGCTGGTATTCCTTCCTCGTGTATATCGTCATATAATGAGGAAATTACCAGAACTCTCCAGCCATGTCCTAAACTGCAAGGCCTCCCACACCTGCACACACCTGCACACACTTGCTTTTGTTCCCTGCAGTTGCCATTGAAGCACACCTCCTTCAGGCGGGTAGTCACTTGTCTGCCTCTAGCTTACCACAGCATGCCATTCTTTCAGCATCTAGAACACCTCTCCCCTTGTTTTTCCTCCCCTTTTGGGGTTCTCTTGTACCTTACTGGAGCATCTCTCTCCTGAGGGAATTGCATCAATTCCTTTGGATTTAATTATCATCTTTATGCTGATGGTCCCCCATTCTAGCTTCTGGGAATACTACCCCAGACTTTCTTCAAAGATCCAGATGTCACATCTGGCTGCATATCTAAGATCTGACTTTGAGTTGCCTAAACTTGGGCTAACTTGTCCTATCTGTAGTTTAACCTGCCATTCAAACCAGTTCTCTCCAGCCCTTATCTTTCCCTCTCCATCCAGTTCCTCAAACCAGAAACTAAAACCCATGAAGTCATCTTTGATTCTTTCTATTCCCTCACATCACTACTGCTCCATGAGCATATTCTGTCAATTCACACTCTCATTATAAACTCTTTCAAAGATAAGAAGACTGCTTCAGACAGGCCTTTGCTGAGCTGCCTTTCTGCCCGGACTTCACATGACTGGTCTCTCTTCTGAGTTTCAGTTGCGATGTCACCTCTTCCAGGAACCCTCCCCAACCATTTTCACCCGTCTCAGACCTTGGTGTTTTTTTTTTTTTTGTCTCAGCTCATAAAAATCTTGCCTTTTTTTTTTTTCTGTTTGTTTCCCTCACTAAACTGAAAAATCCCAGCAATAAGGGCAGTACTCTTGTCCACCCATCGCCTTCCATTTATTATAGTTCCTAATACATAGCAGGAACTTATTTACCTCTTTCTTAAATGAACAAAATGTAAGGTCTAGGCAGTCAGGGCAAGGTTGGGCTGGGAACCTTGACTCTGGGGCTGTTACTGTCTGCATACCCGGGGCCTCCTAACCTTGAGCCTCCTAAAGTCTGGGAACTACCTGCAATCTGGGAACTGATAAGCGTCATTGATGAATCAGTTTCTGAAAAAGCAGCTTCCATGCCCTAGAAAAGTTCATCTGTGTTCCCCAGCGTGTGAGATTCTCTGACACGCCATGAGAGGTTGCTGAATCTCATCCAGGAGCACAATAAAGTTCCTGCCTATCAGAAAATTTGCCTGGATCTCCATCTCTTAAATGTCCCGAACCTTTCCCAGATATTGTTGTTATTATTTTGTTTTTTGTTTCCTATCATAAAGATAGACCTAAGGACAATAGTCATTCATCTTTTTTATACTTCTCACAATGCCTCGTGCAACATCCTACACAAAGCACAGGCCTGAATAAATCATTGAATGAATGAATAGATTTCTCCATCTCCTGTCTGGCCCAGCAGTGGGAGGTCTTCCTTCCTCTCCTGTGGTACCCGGAGGGGAGGAAGTTAGAACGCGGCCTCTTTGGCTTTCTGACATTTCTATATCTTCCCATAGTGACTCCAAACTAGGCTCCCTACTTTTTCATCCTATATCATAGTGTCTTCTCCAAAGATCAATTATCTAAAAGAAGACTGGAAATTTATCTTTAATTATTGGATAGAAAGACATGATTGTAAACGTATATGTCAATTTTCCATCCTATCAAATATTAACTGGGTTGGGGAGATGGGGGAAGGTTGGAATAGTGATACTAAAGTTAATTGACAAAATGAATGTAGATGAATAGTGACAAAGACTCTGAAAAACTATTGTAAGGGTTCTAAGACCCCCTGAACATTAAAACAAAATGTAGAGGGATGGTGTTTAAAATGGTTTGACTCATAGGCAGAAATAGCCACTGCAGCATGAGTTCAATCCCTAGCCAGGGAGCTGACCCACATGGCCCAGCAGACCTCTCCAGTCTCACCTGCTGCTCCCCTCAGCAGTGCATTTCAGTCCATCTGCCTGTTCTGCTCCCCACGCTGTCTCTGGTGAATCCTGCCACCCCCTGCGCCTCTGGCCTGAACACCAGCTCCAGTGTGCATAAATAAAAATAAATCTTTTTTTTTTTTTTTTAAGAAAGAGTCCCCAATAAACCGAAGCAGAAGAAGTGTTAGTCACTGAGCCCCAGCCTGGGGTAGGGCAGAGCGGTGCAGAAGGGCGGTGGCAGGAGCTGGCTGTGGAGACCCCGCCTTACCTTGTAGTGGCTGATGGCCTCTTCAATGGTCAGCTCGCGGTGAGACTCGTGCTCAGGGAACTTCTCGCATTCCTCACACAGCAGAAGTCTGCTCTCCTCACAGAAGCAGCGCACCTTCTTCTGGTGGATGTGGCAGGTGTAGCCTGTCCCCAGCACGCCCTCGGAACAGGGCTTCCGGCAGACAGGACAGCAGAGGACTCCAGACTGGGAGGCCTTGTCCACGTGCTGCGCCAGGCACGCCTGGCAGAACAGGTGTCCGCAGGCAGTGCGCACGGCCCTCCTCAGGCCCTCGCGGCAGATGGGGCAGATGTCCTCTTCATGGCCACTCTCCCGCAAAGGGACCATGGCTTCTACTCCACACCACAGTCCTCTGTTACAGGGCCTCCTTCTCTCCTGGGGCTTTGGCAGGCCTGCAACACAGACAGTCCAGGTAGGGTGGCCCAGATGGAAGGAGGGTGGCCTTGGAGTGGCAGACCCAGCCCACCAGTCCCAGGTAGCTGCTCCTCTCTGTCGTTAGAGACATGGCTTGGCCCGCGCTAGCCTGAGTCCATGTGAGTTTTAGAAACATCTCATCAGCACTATTTTTCCTAAGGGAAGCAGGCGCTTCAAAAACAAAGCTTCCTCTTCGGGGCTTTCTGTGAATATATATATATTTTTTAAGAATTTATTTATTTATTCATACAGAACTGGAGTACAGGCCAGAGATATGGAGGGTGAGAGGATTCACCAGGGACAGATTGGGGTGCAGAACAGGCAGATCAATGAAGTACACTGCTGAGGGGAGCAGTGGGCGGGTCAGGAGAGGTCTGCCGAGCCATGTGGATCTCCTCCAGGGCAGGCGGGGATTGAACTCATGCGGAAGTGGCTTAAGCTTCTTAGTGCTGTGCTTTAACCCGCTGTGCCACCAGGGAGGGCCTCTGTGAATATTTTTACAGCTCAAAGGTAAAAGTTCAGGAAACAACCCAAGAGACCACTGAGTGTGGACTGGATGAGGTGGCTGTGATCCATCCACACAATGGAGTACTATTCAGCCGTGAGGAGAGAGGAAGAGTTGCCAAGCAAAGTGGAAGAAGTTTGAGGGAATTGTGTATAGTAAAGCAAGCTAGCATGGCACAGACAAGTATAGGATGTTTACACAGCAGGCGTGTCAACAAAGCAGGGTACACATATGAAAACCAGCAAATGCTGATGAACCTCTCCTGAGGTTAGGGAGGAGGGGAGACAGAAAGTGCTAAAGGAAATATGGGCTGGCAGGGGGGGACATTAAGAACAAATATAAGACTCTGAAGTAAGTACACAAAAGATATACAAAACTCTTTGGGAAAATGACAACACTTTTTGAAAGATACTGAAGAAAACCTAAACCACTGAGAGCTATAAAGACGTTAAAAGGCCAGAGCAACGTGACAGAACTCAGGGCACCATAAACTTAAAATCTGAAGTCTTCTCTTTGCCCTCAGGTGAGGGAATTTGGCAGGAGTCTGGAGGATCTGCTCTTGTGCTAGGTCCCAGCAGGCTCAGGATCAGCCCATGAAGATGTGGCTACAGCCATCGATTGCTGCTACTAACCTTCTGCATGGACATCTCTGTCTGCTAGTCATTCTCCCAGTCAGCATCCTTTCCAGGTTACGCTTCCACAGTGAAAGAGAAAGGAGCTCAGGACTCACAGCAGACCAGAGAACTGAGAAATGTTTGACGGCAACTTCTCCTTTCCTTTCTAACCATCTTCCAAGATGACCCACAGAAGGAAGCCCCGTCACCCCTTTCCTCAGCCATGCTCGCTCCCTCATCCCCACACCTCTTCCCTACTCCTCTCCCAAGAAGTTCTCTTAGTATCCTACCTCAGCCTCTTCTTCTACAACTTCAGGTTACTTTGCCAAGTGCCAGATTCCGGAGAGATGGCCAGCAGGTGGATGGTTCTTTTATAACGGGGTTGATTATATATATGCATGTGTCATAAAAGTGCAGGGGGAAGGGAAGAAGCCCATCCTCCCCTGAATTACAAGGAAATACTCCTTTTTGGCTCTGTGACAGACCTACAGTTACCAGAAAGTGAGATGGACTTTGGTGCAGGGTGTGGCTTGTTAGTACACAGGGAGGAGGAAAGTCTTGGCACTTTCTATGTATATATCGTACGAACTGGGTCAGTTCATCACGTGAAGACCTTCCAGAACCCCAGCTTATAGTGCCTGTGGACACAGGCATCCCAGAATCACTGCATTCCCACACTGGAGCGTGACTGTCCGCCCCACCATTTTCCAAGTTCCCCCTGTTGGACTGGTCTCTGCTATAAAGAGTTGCCGTTGAGGTTTTAAGAAATCTGAGTAACTTGTTCAAACCTCATTCTGTTACGGGACAGGGAGAGAGGGGCACCCCTGAAGCCCCAAACCTCTACCTGTTACAATTCCAAAGTCCTCTCTTCAAATTCCACTTTGCTTATCTGCTGTGAGATTGCTTAGAAAATTTCTCCAAAGCCATGGATTTTTACTTTCTTCTCAAAAGACACAGCTTCCTCAAGTCTCAGTACCACAGATGAGGCCAGCATCTTCCTCAGGTAAAAAGACCTGTGTGTGAAACTCTGGTTGTCCAAACTCTCCTTTGCTGCCTTCCACAGTCACCTCCTTAGGTCACGGTTGGCTTGTCCACAAGGCTCACAGACCTTTCTCTGCCCGTCCTGCTGTCAACTTGGGGGATTTCAAAATTTATGTAGGTGACCACCCGACACCCAGGCCCTTGACTTGTTCATAGTCAGTGATCTTTTCTTCTGCCACCCCCTACTACTCCATACTCTAGACTTTACCAGAATTCACCAGCTGAAATCATAAATCCTGGCAGAGACTCATCACACAGCTGTCCCCTAAGCTACACACTGCCAGATCTGTTCCTCACTATCTGATCTTTAACCCTTCCGCATTCAATATTCCACCATAGCTTATGAGAAAGAAGAGAAAAGATGATAGATAGCGATGAAGTCACAATGCCCAAGGCCACAGAAAGCCAGGACCCGATCTGGAGGTCTGTCATATCCTAGTTTCATGCTTTACCACCACAAATACATCACCACCAAATGTCATCTCTTAGAGCTGATAAAGGCTTTACCGAATGGGTGAGTGAACAGATGGGTCCATAATAGGATTCTGGATAAGCAGATGAAGAAATAGCATTTGTCCCTCCTTAAAGTATTAGTTGTATGGAAACTTCTACCATAGTCATTTACTTTTCTTGATTTTCCTAGTAGCTTATTGAGCAAGTTGAAGGATCCACTGTATTTAGTATCAATTTAAGAATAATTCAAGAAAATCACCCTATAAAGAAAGACAGACTTTCAAAAGATCTGCATGGGAAAAACACTAAATTACAAAAGTAAAGTCAAGAGACAAATGACCAAATGAAAATGTAAAGGCAAAGCATACTGGGCTCCATGGTGGTGCAAAGGGCTAAGTCTCAGCACTATGAAGCTGCCCACACCACTGCAGCAGGAGTTCGATCCCCAGCCAGGGAGGTGACCCACGTGGCACAGCAGACCTCTCTGTCTCACCTGAGTAGAAAACTGGGTAGAGGAAATGAGTAGATACATCCTAGAAAAAAAGTCTCTAAACCATAAAGTCTCATTCTCAGTCACAGGAGGACATGAGCATGAACTATGAAACTAGCTGTCTGGAAAACAGGAGTAGAACTGAGACTTTCCCTTATGTCATTGTTGTACCTTTCAAATTTTGATCCAAATATATCATCTGCTTAAGCAATTATTTAAATATAAAAACATTTAAGAAGGAGGAGAAAGGATTAAAATAAAAGGAATTCTAGACCAGTCAAAAGGTCTTGGTTATGACCTTAATGCTAGAGATTTGGAGCTTTGTGTTCAAGAAAGCCACACTCTCATCTTCCTTGCCAGAAAAATGGACCAAATGTCAAAGATGACAAAGGATGTGCTTTTTAAAACTATAAACCAATGCTGTCATACCCTGCCTCACAGCCTCTTCAGCATAGCTCCTTGCCGATAGCAAGAGCACAACCATTTTTTGAATGAATGATGGTACCTGATATCGCTTATTTAAAAGATTAGCACCAAGGAAAGTGACTTGCACCTTTTCCCTCTCCATCACTTCTTTCCTGCCTCTGGTCTAACAGTTCCCATTGGAGAAGGCTTTTTACCCATGTGTTGCAGTTGCTCTAAACTTTCCACATAGTTTAAGCCCAACTCATTGTAGGTCTCAGTTTCCTGGGCCCTTCCCGGTGGTTCAAGAGGTCCAAGCACAGCACTGTGAAGCTCTCCACAGCCACTGCAGCACGAGTTCCATCTCCTCCCTGACCAGGGAGGTGACCCACATGGGTCAGCAGACCTCACCTGTCGTGCTCCCTGCTCGCCTCAGCAGTGTATTTCAGTCACTCTGCCTGTTCTGCTCCCCACTCTGTCTCTGGTGAATCCTCTCAATCCCTGCACCTCTGGCCAGTACCCCAGTTCCTATATTCATAAATAAATACATCTTTAAAAATAAGTCTCAGTTTCCTGCATGAAACTTCCCTTCCCATTCAGTTTTCACCCCTTTTGGGCCTCCAGGTACAGTAGGCAGGGGTAGCCTGCCCACCCATAGTCTGCTTGCTAAGCCATGGGCCCTGGCACAGAGTAGCCCTGGTCCTGAGGAGGGTGGGGGCCCATTCTAATGTGCTCAAAGGCGTTGGAGGGGTGTGCAGGTCTGTATGCACCCCTCCCTTTCCTGAACCATCATCTAATGTATTACCATTAAGTTTTTGCCTACCCCCTGCTTTGGGGACATGCTTAGTTTCCACGAAGAATGGAACTGTATCTTACCATCTTTGCACACTTCCTGATGTGCCAGTGTTGAGCATCTTAAGTCATTCTTTTAAATGTCTCCAAGTAAATTCTAAGCTCAAATCCTGATGTTTTCTCTACTCACATTCTGATGAGTCTGAAACATTAGATTATTGACAGTTTCCTCCCTGAAATTCTCTTCTCCACTGGCTAGTGGGCTGCCCTTCACTTCTCTGAACATTCATACAAGAAGAACCTCACACAGTAAGGTGGCACTATGACGCGCTTCCAAGGCAGACAAGCCAGGAGAGTTCTCCACTCTGCTACTACTCCACATTCCCTCACCTCACACAAGTCCTGCAAACACCCTGGGCCCTGATGCTGTCCACATCCTTATCCTTGGTCCTGGTCTTCTTCCTGACTTTAAATTCCCATGCATGCGTGCATGCCTCCAATTCAACGCACGTTCTAAGTTATTTTCATCTGGCTTGTCTGCCACGGTGCCCAAATTAGCAATGAAAGTCCCTCAGCTGTGTGTTTGAGCGGGGTCTCTGTGGGCACTAGGGGGCGC